GTGAGAACATCAGCAAGTTATTCCTTGGAGTTGACATAAGGGATGCAAATTTCTCTTTTTTTTTTTTTCCAATTATTCCCTTATGAAGTATTTGTCCACTTCAATGTGCTCGGTCCTCTCATGTAGGACAGGATTGTTAACAATGTTTATGGCTGCCTTGTTGTCACAGTAAAAAGGCATAGGGTTATGAACAACAACTCCAAGTTCTCCTAGAAGGTATTTTAGCCAAAAAACTTTAGGCACCCCATGTGCCATAGATTTATATTTTGCTTCAGCACTTGACCTTGATACCACACTTTGTTTCTTGCTTTTCTAAGTCACTAGGTTTCCTCCCACAAATGTGCAATACCCACTTGTGGATTTTCTGTCATCCACAACACCTACCCAATCAGCATCTGTAAAGACTTCCACCTTTAGACTTTCGCCTTGTATTAAGCATCTTGGAAACCTCAAATCTGCTAAATCTGCCAATGATTAAATTTTAGCATGTACAAATGATTGATGTAGTCAACATGTTGACCAAGTCTAGCATTGATGGCCACGAGACGTCTCTACATTTCTTTAATTTTCTTGATAGGATCTATTATTGTTAACCAAAGATAGATGAAAAAAAAAAACTATTGTAATTTAGAACAAGATACCTTATTCCGTAATTGTCTCCCTTTTGCCTCCTTCTTGTCTTTGGAGAGCCTATATCCCTATTATTTTTTGATTAATTGTATAATGGCACACAAGTGCTCTTCAATTGAGTGAAAAGGCTAACCAAATTCTCAACATTCAGATATGCTACATCTGTTGTCCCAATTGGTGCAATGTTTGTGATGACCCTATAGTTGGGAAACACTGCATACTTGTATATATCTGTTGCATTTGCACAAATGTTGAAAGCTATCAGTAAGTTACTAATGAAAACTTCAAGCACTACTTTTCTTTATATGGAGCTCTAAGGAATACTTTTTATTGATTGTGAAACAATTTCCCCTGCTTCATAGCTGGTTCTTGTTATATGGAGTACAGGAATGGGAATTCTCAAACCTCAGATCCTTAACCAAGTGTTACTTTTATGGGCATGGATTTTGTAGTGCCCATCGCGGTATTCATTCTTGGAGTTGCAGCAGGACTTGAAGTAATGAGCTGCAGAATGCTTTTTATTATGTCAGTGATCAGTTTTGGTGTTCTTGTTGCTTATGGAGAAATAAATATTAGTTGGATTGGAGTGGTTTACCAAATGGGTGGTGTTGTTGGGGAAGCTTTGAGTCTTATTTTCATGGAGATTCTGGTGAAAAGGAAAATTCTCAAACTAAACCCCATCTGTAATGTACCATGTCAGTCCCTGTAGGCATGTATTGTTTTTTGCTTTCATGCTAGACTCTTAGAAGCATTCTGTTATATTAAATAGAACTCAAACATTGTAACCTATCCATTTAAACAAACTCCTATCTTCTTTTGCAGTGCTTTGTGCCTCTTCATTCCATGGATATCTTTAGAGAAGCCAAAGATGGATGCAGCTGGGACCTAGTCCTTCATCCATTCATATTAATTCTCAATTCCCTCTGCACTTTTGCACTCAACTTGTCTGTTTTTCTTGTGATCTCACATACAAGTCTTTGTCTATGTCCCAGTCTGTGGTTGTTTGTTTTACTTTCTATTATAATAAGCTGAACCTTGCTAAGGACTCATATGAGGAGCCATTTATAATGAAATTGCACCTTCATTCTGAATTAATTTAGCATCCAGTTGCATTAAGTTATCTCCCACCTCCCAACCACCACCAAAAACAATCATCTTCTTTCTAATTGGAAAAAAAATATGAATATATTCCTTCAACTTGATGGCTGTTTAAAAGAAAATTAATACAAGGGAACCCGGAATACTTGTAGTGCATTTTTTAATAAAAAAAAATTCTTTCTACAGCCATTGCATATAATAACCACAAGTTGAAAAAGGAAGCTTCTCGAGCCAGCTCTATTGACTCTCAAGATGTTGAAGCTATACCAACAACACCACCCTTAACTTCTCAGAAGACAGAAGCTTAGGGCAAGTTGTCTATTTTTCTTGTATTAATTTTCTCAAGAACCATTTCACTAGTAGGGCAATATTGACACTCTCCACCCTTCTCACTGTTGGGTAGAAATCAAGTTTATCCACAAATTATCTCTCCCAAATAATCAAACTTGTAGATATTTAGCTAGTACAATCCCAAGCAAGATATCGACCAAAAACAATCATAAGCCAAGCAAAGAGAGACACACGATATTTAACGTGGAAAACCCCTCCAATGTGAAGGGTAAAAACCACGGGGCCAAGGAGACCCAACCAAAATCACCACTAATAACTTGAGGTAACAATTACAGCAACTCAAATACCACAATATGCTCACAAACTTAAAGCAAATACAGATTCTCAAACATATACGCAAGAATACCAAAAGCTGTGAAAAGAATAGTCAGAAAAACTCACAAACATGGTTACTGTTCATGTCACAAAATGGAGACATACAGTGCTCCAAATCAGATCTCCACCGTTCAGATCGTAGGTCCGTGAGTTCCAAACAAGCCCACCAAATTTCAGCCAAATCGGACCACAGATGACCCTTGATCAGAATGTTTGATGAAGACTACCGCAAGCTGTTTTCTTTTCCCAACCAGCTGCGAGTTGCTTCTATTCGACATCAAATAACTGACAATTCAGAACACCGATCAAAGATCCAACGGTTCAGGATGAGTAACAATGAGTCTTCCACCTTCTGTCCAAGTTTCAGCTCGACCGGACGGTGGATCGGAATGTTCCGGCCATTTGATGAATGCTGCACATTGAAAATCTACAACACAGTTTTTCCGATTTCTTTCTTTTTGTTCTCTCTATTTTCAACACACTACACAAATCAGATATAACCCTAGTTTTGAAGACAAAAACAATGGGCTGAAGTAATATGAGCTGTAACATGGGTCAATGTCTCATAATGGGTTGGACCCAATACTCACCCCAAAGCCACAATAAGGTTTTTGGTTTGCAAAACTTTCCAATACCTTGGTTTGGTAATTCATAATAGGGGAGCAATGGAGGAGGATGTCACCCAAAGAGTTAACTAGAGCAGGAAGATGTTTCTAAAGTATACCACTTAGATTAAAAGGAAAATTATATAATATAGTTGTATGGCCAAATATTGTACGGAGCAAAGAGTGTTGGGCAATAAAGAAACATGTCCAAAATAATGAATATGGTAGAAATGTATATGCTGAGATGGAAATGTGAGAAAACTAGAAAGGATTGGATCAGAAATTATTTTATGTCATTCTATGAAACCTAGGAATACCTCCAATAGGTGATAAAATGAGAAAACGTAAACTAAGTTGATTTGGCCATGTGCATGGAAGATCATCAACAATACCTATAAAAAGAAGACATGGGTCTTATTCTTCTCTAGTAAATAAAGACATCTTCATGATCTTCTCCTAGAATTTGTAGAGGAAAAAGGCCATTTTCTAAAAATATAAAGAATTATATTTATTTGAAAGGACAAATTTATTAAAGTACAAAATTGAGATCTTTCCTCTTTCCTCTTTCCTCCTCAACTCGTCTCTCTCGCTCCCTCTTCTTTCTTCTTCCCCTCACCACCGCCACTATTACCGGCGAAGGGGCTGAAAACCATAGCAACAAAGGTGAGATGAGTTCCGGAGATGATAGCGTTCAATCACTCCCTGAGATTCAAGGAGGGAATCTAGCGCCAGGGCTGAAAACCGCAACAACAAAATGCCACATTTACAGACAACGAAGACGTGGCCCCTTCGTTAAGTGGCTCGACGACGAGCTTTCTTACTTGGTGGATGAAAGGGCAGTCCTTTTCACTTTATTTGGCTGGAGCACAAGGCTGATGCATTACGAGAGTCTGTGTTCGGATACTGTGATCTCAAGAAGTTCGAAGCATCCTTCTACAACGACAGTCACCAACCCTGCAATACAGGATGCAAGCTCTGCTAAAAAAATTAGAACACGGAGTGTCCTTTTCACACCACCGTGCTTGACGCACAACTGCATTGGATGGTTCGGTGTTTTGATGATCCCTACCTTATTGACCGCAACTTCTGTATTTATTATTGCATTTATTGCAACTTCTTTTTTTATTATTGCCATCAATATAATATAGATATTGATGGTATTCGTGAACCTGTTTCTGGGTCTCTACTTTATGGAAACAATATTATCTCTGGTGCCATTATTCCTACTTCGAAACTTGGTTGTTTTTGGTCGTAAATGCCAGTCCACGATATTAATTTATTCTACCCCTTTCACATAGGATTTAATGAGAGAGGATGGGGTTAATACCTTAAATACAAGACTTAATAAGAATGAATGGAATGAATAATTTAATAAAAGTATTTTAAATTAATATTTTTAACTTTATAATAAAGAGAGATCAAATTCAACAATAGGGGTATTTTAGTTAAAAAAAATTCTAGAATCTAAACCTCATTCCCGTTTTTAATAGTAGTATAGATATAGATAAAAAAGAAAAAGGAAGGCTAAGAATCCTCTCACCTCAATGTTCACATTCCAAGGATCTCTTTATCTCATATCTTACACATGCAGTTATTTATTTTTAAATTAAATTTAAAAAATATATGAAGTCACAATAAAAACCCTCTTAGGTCTTACTTTCTTTAATGAAATCCATCATTACTTTCTTTAATGAAATTAATCATTCTTAAAATTCTATTTCCAAGTTAATATTTATAACATATCCCCTTCCCTATTAATTAAATCCCTTATTACCTCTTAAATTTCTCTAAACCTCTTTTGACTCCCCTCAATTAAGCAGAGGTATTAATTAGATAGGTTGTGTTAGGTTAAAACCCAACCTAAAACCGATCCTAAACATAACATGAACATCGGCCTGAACGGCTGAACCCAAACGGATGTGAAAAAGAAAAACTGCAAACCCAAATTTGCCAAGTAAAAAACTAACCAAATTCCATCTACGAAAACATCTCAAAAAACTATTTACTCGCTGGTGAATATATAGAAGTAGAACATACATTACATGGATGTGTGGGCCATGTGGTGCATGAAAAGTGCATTAAAATGATGCTAAGAGCCTAAGATTAGCATTTAACCGAAGACCTCTCTCTCTCTCTCTGGAAACCTGTAGTGTCCGGTGTCCCCATGAGGAATTACCACATTTCTGACGGTGAATGACATGGACTGTAAATATTTAGGAATAGACCACATCGAAACTAAAGTTGATGGGATTGCTGATCCAAGGGGACAAAAGAGTACCTGCTCTGTGCCCTGAAACAACTTAATCGGCAAATCTTAAGAGCGTGCAACGTATATGGATTTGCTATATTCCCTCCTCAATGCTCCTGTATTTTCAAGGAGAAAACGACCTATGATGGGGTACTGTGCATTGGTGTAAGACCCAATATGTCTAAGAAAAGATAAAAGGTAATAAAATAAAGAGAGAGAGAGAGAGAGGTAACATTATTGGATTCAAAAGAAGAACAGACTAAAGACAAGAAGATTACAGCTCAGAGACCCTAAATACGTAATAAGACTGCGATACACTGTTGCAGCTGTAGATCTCACCTTTCCATGGTACCATGATGGTTTCAATCTCTTATCATCATCTGGCTGTTCTTGGGACCAAGAGCTGTTGCTAGAACTTGTTGAACTCAAACATGCAGGGGTGTCTAGATACAATGAAATGTTCTTGTCATAGAGTCGTTGCTTTGTACATAGCCCACTGTTTCCTCTAACATCCAATCTCTTCCCAAGCCTGTTAACGAAATCTTCTGGGAGCAATAGCTCCCCACTGAGCATATTTTGGCTCAAGTTTAGCTGATTAAGATTGGGAAGTGTCCCTAAATCTTGTGGGACAGTGCCATTGAGCCTGTTGTTATCTAGAGACAATGCAATGAGATGTTTTAGTGAAGAAAAAGTGGATGGTATTGGACCCATGAACCCACAACCTGAAAGGCTCAACACTGTGAGCTTGCTAAGAGCCCCTACAAACAAAGGTATCTCTGTCTCTATGGGGTTGCCTTCCACCAGGAAGTATTGTATCTCCTCCAAACCTGACAGTGTCTCTGGGATTGGACCTGTTAAATAGTTGTGGTTCAAATCCAGCAAAACCAGTCTCTTTAAATTGCCTAAATCTGGAGGTATCCTGCCAGCAAGCTTGTTAGAGCCCAAGTCAATCTTTTGGAGAGATTGAAGCTGACCCAAAGAACAAGGCATCTTCCCTTGCAGACTATTCCAGCTCAAGTCTAGGATGGTCAATTCCTGCAAGCCTCCAATCTCTTCAGGGATCTCACCACTGAGATTATTGTAACTGAGGTCAAGCTGCTCCAAGTTACCCAACCGACCAAGCTCCTTTGGTATCCCTCCTTGTAGGCTGTTCTGGGACAAGCTCAGAACTCTTAAGCTTGCAACGTCTGCTAAAGTGGGAGGAATCTCCCCTGAGAGACCTGGGTTAAACTTGAAAACCAACTGCTCCAAGGAAGAGAATAAGCCAAACAGGGATGGAGAAAGAGTGATTGTTGCAGTAAGAAAACAGTTGAATATGGACAGGGTGTTGAGATAAGGCAGCTTCAGAAGGGATTTGGATAGTTTGGGTGAGGTTTTGCAGGGTGGGGTGACAACATCTGGTCCTACATGTATCTTAGTTACATGAAGAAGGGGTAAGTCCTGGCCAATCTCACACTGGATACCTGGCCATGGGGTGTCAGTACATGGGTTTGGATGCAGTTGGGCCCAGTTGGGATCCTCTAGAAGGTCACCCATAACCTCAAATAGCCCCAAGAGCTCGCCCCTGTCCATCCCAGTATCAGCATCGTCTGTGATGTTGTTTGCAGTTGCAGCACTCATCTCGGCTGAAAACATGAGGAAACAAAGAATGAGGAGAGGTGGAGAAGCCATGAAAGGAGGTGAAGAAAGAAAGGTTTACAAGGAAATATCCCTATAACCGCTATTTAGACTCTGAGACAGGAGAGCTAGGGGCGAGTCTTCCTCCTCTTACGGGCATGACAGTCGGGGCGACACTATTCTCTAGCTCGTCATTTTTTTTTTCATTTATGTCCTTAAATTTCATGGCGAAAGGAATATATTTGCACAAATGCACAACATCTCTCTCTCTCTCTCAACATTTCGTTGTCTATAACATTGGTTCACATGGAAAAAGACTAGGTTAGAGAGAGAGAGAGAGAGTTGTGCAGAAACAAAGGACATGGGTCAGAATGGTTTGAAATAATAAGGGACGGGACGTCGGGACTCTTATCGACAAGCAACCTACCTGGCTCAGAATATTTTCAGGGAGGATACTTGGCCAATCAGTGACATGCCAAATCATCATGCAGTTTATTCTTTTACTCTAAGCAAACAAGAGAGAGCACGGGCTCCCTACCCAGCGGGGAATTGCAACAGGGCGGGGCATCTTTTAAATCCCCGAATTTTCTCTACCTCGAAAAAAATTACCTAAAATTATATTAAATTTTAGGGATGTTTTAAATATAAGAATATAAAAATTTAAGGATATTTTAAAAATGTGATTATGGGATTCTAGTTTTTTTTTTTTGGAATTTATAAAAAATTTAAGAGTATCTTAAAAATTAATATTAAAACTAGAAATATTTTAATAATTTATCTTTAGGTTTGAGGAATTATATGCAAACCTAATATCTAATCTGGACAAAAGTATTTTTTCCATCACTGCCTCGTCCCGAGGGAAAACCCATCATATTAGGGACTTGAAGGGGTGGGACCTCAGTTTTATAAGGAAAGTTGCCATCCTTAGTGTTGTGGGGCATGTGTGGGACATACTGTGTCGGGAGCCACTCCAAACCCACAATGCCCCATAGAACATCCCCGTCGTGTATTAGGAACATCTCCCAATGATGACATCATCAGGACTGGTACTATTATCAGGAAATGTTTACAATACACAGCGGGGATGTACTGTGAGGCATTGTGGGGCAGATGTGTGAACTCTTAGGGTTATAACATTGTAGGTCCCAAAGTCTCATTTTCCATTAGGAGGAATTTGGATATGCTCACAACAAAAATTTTACTAACATGATGTGTCTACACCTCACCGTTTTTTGTTGGGATTTTGGCTTTGATAACCCTTAAACTTTGCTAAAAAAACACTTTAGATCCTTAAAGAATTAAAAGGGTATTTTTGCTGGCGGCGAAAAACCACTTTTAAGTTTTAAGGCAAAAACAAATGACATTAGAAATGTTGTCGACAGCTCCGTTAGAGAATAAATAAAATACTAGTGATTGTTGATTTGGCATGCCAAGTCAGTGAAGCTAATTAACAAGTTGGTCCCACTCAAAACCCCTTCCCGTTAAACAACGGTGAAAGAAAATGGATGGGTCTTCCTTATCAGTTTCAAGTATCAGTCTAGAAGTTTCAATTATGAAGGGCCACTTGTGTTTGTCATTGTAGGATGAAAGCTCCTAGATCGATAGCTTGGACCATGGAAATGAGGTTCAATGGATGTCCACAAAATACAAGGTCATTTGTGTATAAAATTATTTATTTTATTATTATCATTTTTGTAAATTTGTGTTCAAAGGGGTTTTGATTGTAGGAAAATGGCTATGGTTTCTTTAAGTGGCATGACACTTTGAAGTTTCAAAGAAGGGCAATTGAGGTGATTTTGAAACTTATTAGGAAGGAGAGGTCATTTACTAAAGAGATTGAAGAATTGAAGACTAAATGCACATGGTGTGCTTTGGGACTAGTGTCACTTGGTCCCCAAACTCTAAAATATGATAATTCAATGTCCGAACTTTTAAAACATGACAATTTAGTATCTATTGTTAATTAGTTGTTAACCTGTCATTAAGTGACATTTGAAAAAGATACACAAATGTCCTTTGAGTGTCATCTAATTTTCTTTATCAACCATCCAAATATTGTCAAAAAACTAACATTCACAAATCCTTGCCTTTTCTATTCAAGAAAGTTAGGGTCACCAAAGTGCCCACTGAAAACGTGACCCCAACTTTCTTGAATGGAAGATGCAATGATTTGGGACTGTTAATTTTTTTGTGAATGTTTAGATGGTTGATAAAGAAAATTAGATGGTACTTGAAGGACATTTGCATCTTTTTCAAATGTCATTTAACAATAGGTATTGGATTGCCACATCTTAAAAGTTTTGGTTTCGAATTCTCGTATTTTAAAGTTCGAGGGGACCAAAATGGTATTAAGCCCAAAGTATAGGGTACTAATTAGGAATTTTTCCTTTTATTATTAACAAATTCAAAGAATTGAGGAAAATTGGAAAAAAGTCCAAACTAACAAGTTGCCTCTAGAACCAAACATCAAATGTAGTCTGCTTTGGGTTTTCTATATTTCCTTAATTGGTTATGTTGTTGATGTAGTACATGAGAAGGCCAATAAGTTCTATGCAAATTGGGAGTACTCCAAGATGCATAAGAAATTTAGATGACATCACTAATCCAACCAAGTAATCAATTACCAAGTTAACGTCAATGTAGAACTTCTATTTTGGTTCAAGTTTACTAAGTTAGCGCAAGTACAAAATTTCCATCTTAGTTAAAATTTACTAAGATAGCGCCAACACAGAATTTCCATCTTAGTTTGAATTTACCAAGATAACACCTGCACGGAATTTCTATCTTAGTTAAAAATTATCAAGCTAGTGCCAACACAGGACTTCTATTCTAGTTTATAATTACCAAATTAGTATTAGATCATGATTTCCGAATTTTTGTTCAATTAAGATTTTCTTTTTGAAGAGTTTTAATAAGATTCTATTATAGAGTGTTTTCACATATTAAAAAGCTTTCTTGTAGGAGCCATAAATATGTATGCCTATATAAAGAATAGCTAGGGAAAGACTAAGATAATTTTTGATATTAAATTTTCTCTTAATTATTCAATGGATATTCATTTTCCTAATAGTTCTAGTTCTACTCTTTTCTTTGAAGCTTTTCATAATGTGTTCCATTTCCCTATTGCAGCAGTTGTAGTTATTATATTTTTGCTTTTTAGTTGGAAAATCCAATACTGTCTAATTGATGCATATGAATGAAATGCACAAAAACCATATAAAGTAATACAAATCACCACTGTGGGTGCCTCACAGGGCACCTCACACCGATTTCACACGCACATCTTTCGATGCATTGGAATATCTCCCGTAGTTATAAGTTATTATGAGATGTTCCCAAATGTGCGTGTGAGGCGCATGTGTGAGGAGCAGATCCCTTCCCTCACTTGTGCCCGTGAAGAAGCAAGCAATCAGATCACAGATGGCTAGGATTATGCTTTGATTGCTTTTTCTTTGATCCCAACGCCAATTTTCCCCAGCTCGGATTTCAATTGGTTTCTCTCCTTTCTTTGCTTGTCGTAGTTTGCAGTTGCTGACTTCAACGGGTTTAAATTTTGTTTCTGATTCTCATCGATGATCAGGTACTCTTTATGGGTTTTGGTGATGAATAACCATTCTGGCTTGTGTAATGCAAAATGTGGATTGTTCTATTCAAAATAGTAAGTTTTTTAATGAACTACTGTGTCGTGTGGATTTCCAAGCTGAAGTTCTTAGCCTGTTTAATTAATTAGTCGAGGGACTGAGGAGGAGTGCTATCTTCAGGATTGCCCCTGGGATCTTAGCTTTATTGTTTTCTCGGATGCCGCTGGCAGGGCTTGCCCTCGCTGGTGCTAACTTTCTCTCAAATTATCAAGAAAAGAAAAAGACGACGGACTGCTTTCTAATAAAATGAATTGAAGAAAACCCATTTATTTCCCTTTTTGCTTTCAATTTATTTGCAAACACTAGATAATTGAAACGTTTTCTACTGAAATTAAGGTGGCATTTGGTATGTCCAAATCGGCAGTTTCTGTTGTTACAGGGAGATGGGAATGGGGGGGACTACTCCATTTTGCGGAAAAATAGAATTTTTCTGCTAGAACATTATGAATGCCTGCAGAGTTTTTAATGACAATTCAACATTGCTACCCTGGGTCTATGTTATTTTCTGATTTTGCTAATAATGGTATCCTTTTTCATGACCTACTTTTCATGGAAAGCATAGTGAGGGAGTGCTCCACATCAGAACTTTTAGTTTTTTTCTCCTTATCCCTTTCTTTTATTTTTTCCTTCTATTTCCTTTTTTTCCCTTATTTTGTGTTTTTGGTCCAAGGGGGAAAGTTTATATATTATTGTCAGCTGATGTTGTTAGGCATCCTCATAGTGCCCTTACCATTTATGTTTTTTTTTTTTTTTCTAGTAGCATTAACTCCTTGACATGCATTTTGCAACTTCATTTTATATAGACTATAGAGCAGGCTTGTTTCAAACTTGAGTAAATAAAAACACTAGAAAGCTTGAAAGGCGAGGGCGTGCTTGGAAATTGGAATATTGTTTAACATGGAGGTGGCCATGGTCCTGATAATGATGGCATTCCTAGAACAAATACCAAGTAAATTTGTTGAGTTATAATAGTTGCATGGAATTTATGTTATACTGGTATAGGTAATTGACTAAATAATAGATTGTGGTTTCAGTTTAATGCTGATATCCATGCTTTCCATAGTGCCCTCTGGATGATGCTGAAATGTAATGCACAAAAACTAAAAGCATAAACATTTAATAGGAAGCTAGACAGACGAATTTTCATTCCTTCACGGTGAATATTTTTATGTTTATAAAAAAAGGGAAGCCTAGTGCACGAGGCTCCTACCAATGGAGGGTTTGGGAGGGACAAATGTATGCAGCCTTACCCCTGCATATACAGAGAGGTTGTTTCCAAGATTTGAATCTGGTCACACAGGTCGCAATGGAGCAACCCAACCATTGTGGCAAGACCCACCCTCAATTCTCTTGTGTTTTGGGGCATACATGTGTTATATGAATAGCTATTACATACATGTGTTGTATGAATAGCTATTACAATATGATATGTTTGGCTTCAAAAAATAAAAAATTAAAAAACAATATGATATGTTATTTTACCAAAAGAAAAGAAAATGACTGTTTTTATGCCCAGTTTATCTTAGAATATTTTTTTGACTGGCAAGCATTCTGACTCAATGTTTTGCCTATGTTCTGTTATTCAGTCTTTCCATGGGAAGGCTTACTTCTCCAATTAAGTGTAAGTTTTCTTTATTTTTCTGCAAAACAACATAAACTACAATAGCTGTATTAGCTACTTTTTCCATCTCAGTAGGATAACCTAAAGGCTTATTCAAGCATATATTTGAGGAAAAATTAGTTAATCCAATGACATATCCGTGACTCTGTACAACAGAAATGGATGTATAATGTACAAGTAACTTGTCAGGTTATCCTAGTGGCAATAATTTAGAGTATATAAGCATCTCTATGAGAAAATTTGTCTTCAAAAGACAAATCATGTAAGTCAACTATATGCTATTTATTTATTCTTTCTTTACATCTCCGAATATGACCCGTTCAACGTAAACTATCATAAATTTCTTTTCATGAAGTCTGTTGAAGATTAATTAGTTTTATGATGTTTTTTTTGAGTAGATGTTTTATGTTAGTTGTTAGATAGGAGGTGGGGACCGCAGTAGTTATGTGAGTCCAAATTTTATTATGTTTTTTGAGTGTTATATGTTGTTTTATGTTTTGCCGCCCTATAAGGGCATAGTTGTCTTTGTACTGTTCTATTATTTTAGTATAAATAATAAGTGAAGGGGGCGGCCAGATTATTGCTCTCTTTTCTTTCAACTTCTCTTCT